TAACAGGTAATGCGCTCAGGTACGGTAAATAAATAATAAATTAAAGATTATGTATGTAAGAAGAAAAGAGAGGTTCAGTTTTTCGGCGTGTTAAATGAAGTGAAAAAAAGTGTAGTTACTTTATTCGCGTGTGCTGTGTGAAAGAAGAAAGTGACAATAAATTCTGTTTATAATTGTCAAATAGAAAAATTGAATGTCGCGAATTATGAAATGTGAAAAGTGCAAGTGAAGTGATTCTCCGATGTAATGAATTTTTGGGATACGTAAACGAATTTTAAGAGTAAAGACGATAGAAAATGATGCAACCTGGACGACGAAAAATGAAACGAAACATTCAACCGGTGAGTGTAAAATAAAATCAATATAATTATTAAAAAAAAAAAAAAATAAAAAATTTTATTAATTATTAATAAAATTATTAAATTGAAAAATAATATTAAATAATATTATTGAATAATACTTTCTTAAAAATGTGAGAAATATTTTCTAAAAGCTTTCTCAAGCGTATCCGTTAAACACACGAAAAGGTAAAATTAATTAAAATCATTATAACAATGGATTTAAGCGACTGTGTATAACATACATATGTACACACATACATATACGTACACACATACGTATACTGGAACGATTCGTTGTGAAACAATTAAAAATTTCTCTCCGAAATGTTCGTTCTCGCGTTATAAAAGTAAAAAAAATAATCATTTCTATTTTCTTCTCGAATATTTTCAAATGAAAATAACTCGTGAGAAATATTATTGATGAAAATATTAAAGGAAATAAAATTAAAGCATCTTCTTGCTATACATAAAGTTTTACGAGAGTTTTAAATTGAATCTTATGTTAGATGATACGGCTGAAATGATGTTGACCTAGAGAGAAAGAGAAAGAAAGAGAAAGAGAGAGAGAGAAATAAAAAGAAAAATACTTTTTAGGATGGTACATGCTTGTGCCGTTGCAATTTGCGGATACATAAAATGTTAAGGGTTAATCATCTAATCTTAACTTGGTACTAGTTTGTCTAAACTTTTCGATCGGTGTACCAGTTATATGTTGGTTGGTTGCTAAGGGTAGGTCAGGGACATGACTATAGTTCAATATTCGCTGGTTCATCCCTTTTATTTAATACCACTCTCTTTGTTTCTCTTTCTCTTTGTTAGTCCAATGCTTCAAAAATTCAAACAATTTCCATAGAAATGAAAATACATTTGTCCATTTTAAATTTATTTTTCAATTTAATTTCCGAGATATTGTATTCTCATATTATATACGCGAATAATTTTATTTATTTGTTAAAAATATTTAATAGTTACGCGAATAAATTAATATTCATTAATTTTCTTTTTAAATTATTTTAATAATATATTTATAGATAGATAATCAATTAAATTGTTAATGTCTTGACAAATCAATAATTTCATAAATAACATTTTATTTATATGTTTTTTCTCTTTCTTTTATATCCATTTATTTTCTTTTTTTGTTTTTGTCTTTATTCGAGTCTAAATATTTTCACGTGGAAAATATTTTCGAGTTATCGAAATACCTATCTTCTTCTTGTCCCAAGAATTTAAACCGATCGAGCAATAATGCTAATTCACGAAGAATTTGAAAAGAGGGGTTGTTGCATCTCTCGACGTGCCATGCGTCCTCGACAAATTTCGTTTTATCGAGAGAAAATTGCTTTCAGAGTTGCCATGCGATTCGTCCAGAAACTACTCGCGTAAATCGCATTTAAATCAATTCCGTGTTATAAACTTTCTCGGGTTTGTTCTCGTGATATCTAAAATCGAAATACTTTTTAATACTTTCAACTTGTTTAACATATATGCGAAATGTAAAGAGAAATTAATCAATTAAATGATTATAAAAAATATTAAAAGACACGAACACATACAAAAGAAAATAATGAAAATTTAATATTTTCATCTAATTGTGAGAGAAAAGATCGCAAAAATATTGTACTTTACCAACTAAAGTGTAACAATTTAAAGGAAAAAACTATTGTACAATGTATTATTAATATAAAAAAAAAGAAAGAAATTTTTATTAAAATCGTAGTTTTAAAGATATCTCTTAATATTGAAAAGATTATTAATAGGAATTAGAGAATCAAATGTCTCATTAATTAAAGAAAAGAAAAAACAAATAGTTATTTAATATATCTTGATATTAAAATAAAATTAAAAAGAAACGTTTGATTTTGTAAATTTAAGTTGGAAATAACAAAATACAATTTCAAAAATGAACAATCTCTTGATTGATATATTACGATATTCGTTACGATATAAGATTTGGTAATTTTGATTAAACGCAGGATAAAGATTACTCATAATAATTGTTTTAATCGAATTCAATGAAAATATAAGAAATGTATTTAACCAGAACGTTTAAAAAGTTGTATTATTATAATTTTAGAGAAAAAAAAAGGGTAAAAGAAATAACTATATATCGGTTTTCAATATTTAGTTTGAAATGTGTTAATCTATCACAATTTCTAATCGCAATTTCATCGAACGAAACAGGTACCTACTTGAATGGGCCGACACTAATCGTTACGCTCGTAACTCGAACCCAAGCTCGCGTGTTCTCGCAAGCGTATGGCTCAGCAAAGTGCATTCAGGGCATGTCGTAATGCCTAAGTTGAAGGCAAACAACGAAAAGCGGAATGGTAACAGCATAAATGGAACGATAATAACGGTAATACGATACGGTCATAAACCATAAACATATTTAACGTTAAATATTTATTGCATCCTATATATTCGTACGTAATGCAACGGTATAACACGATCAATTTAATATTGTATTATATACATTTAAATGTTTATTTTATAATTTTAATTATCTTTCATAATGTACAAATAAGACCATGATATGCTAGTACATTATAATAATAATAATATATCAAATTTAAGTTAATATTGAAAAATGATAATTTCAAGTATTTTCAGATTAAATAAATTTGTTATATTATTTTACGTTGTGATATATACAGTGAGTTACATAAAGAGTAACAAACAAAAATTTAATAAATTCATTTATCGGTTTTATCGGATGTTATTTAAAATTATATATATATATATGACAATATTATTTAAATTATATACATTTAACTAAAAAAATAACAAATTAAACGTATCTCGATTTAAAATTAAACATATGTTCCAAAAATATTTACATATACAGGGTGTGGAAAAAAGGGTTTGATATTTTAAAAGGTTTATAGTATACTCACTCAAATTGCACAATTAAATATAATTATACGATAATCACTTGTATATATAGTATGTGTAAACACTACTGCATACAGTAGCCAAAAATCTTTTACTTACCTTCTAATATTAACAAGAAAACAAAAATGATTAAAGTTCATATTGAATATACACAAAGGAATTACAAATATCGTATTTCTTTTTTTATCACCCCCTGTATACAATTAAATAATTAATCGAAGAATAGGAATATAAAAATTATTCTATAGGAAGTTATTAGAAAGACGTATAAAAATATAGAATATTTTAACGATAAGGTAAAATATTCAAGAAAAAAAAAAGGGGGAAGACAGATAGAAAGATAGTGAAGAAGTTTTTCCTTTTGCAAGGGTCACTTTAAAACGCGAGAAAAAAATCTCATGTGGCTCGTCGAAACGACGGTTCGTTTTCATTTACATGACCTCGATGAGATTTATTATTCATTAGGATACCTTGAACTTCTTGGACATCCATTAAGGGATCTCTTTATAAGCTGTTCGATTAATCACCATGCTTCTTGTATATGAAATGAGTACGGTACGTAGGATATTAAATGGTAAGAAATTACTATTCGAATGCATTCTCTTTCTCTTTCTCTCTCAATAAAAAAAATTAACTATTTCCTTGCTATATTATCAACGTCATTACAATACCACTATTGATGGAACAACAACAACAACGTGCACGATTGTTATATCATTAAAAACGAATTACGGAATAAAACATTGCTAATAATATAATAATTGATAAATAATAAATATTACAAGATTGTTTAGTTGTCTTACTGGCTGGTTGTGTATCAAGTATGTTTAACAACAGTTTATCAATGATCCTTAATTAAGGACAAAGTTCAGTTGTAGCAATATTGGTCATTAATTAAACATCAGTTCGAGTGATCGGTTGTTTGATCATCTCTCAAGAAGATGACTGTATATAAATACTCTTATAGATCATGACCAATTCAATTTGAAATTGATTGATACATTTGTTTGAATGTATTAAATAATGATCGTTAAAGACCGAATCTTATCAAATGATACCGATGAGATTTTCAATTTTCATTTCGTCTTTAAAAAGAATTGTATAGTTATTTAATAAATGATATTGTTGAAATCATTGCGAGAATAATAAATTTAAAAAAATAGAGAGAAACTAAAATTGCTATAAAAAAAAAGAAACTCATTCCTTAAACTTAAATCATGGGTTAGTTAGTTATTTTCATGGCACATACATATACTACACAATTATAACCGGTCTTGACAAATATTTGAGTTCATAAAAAAAAGTAATTAAAATGTTTATATGAAATATTATTAAATAGAATCAAATAAAATTAACAAAGTGCATATTTCTCGTGGGTCACCATTCTTCGATCAACGTTCACATAAATCATAAATAAATACATCATAAAATATAATAAACTAGCATCACCAATAAGTTTAGATTCAATTAAATTATTTTTGTTGTATTTTATATTAAAACATTGTGTTAAAAGATAAACAACAAAAATAATCAGTGAGCGATCACGTGATTGATAGGGAAGAAAAAAAAAGTATGTATAAAAAATGGGGGAGAAAATGTAGAAGAAATTGTAGAGAAGAAAAAAGAAATGAGAATGTAAAGAATAGAATCAACACGAAAAGGTAAAAGAGAAAATAGGTGGGAAAGATTTTTTTGGATAAAAAAGAAAAGTATCTTTCCATCGTATATTTCGACTAAAGTATCGAACGTAGTAAAGTTACTCACGTGAACCTTATGTTCGGGGGTAGAGGGTAGATTCGGAGTATTTGGCAGAGAGCCCCCCGTGGGGGCGCAGTGCCGCAGCCGCGCCAGGGCCGTACGAAGTCCCTCCGTCACGAGGCTCTTTTATTTATTCTCCTTCTCTCGGTTTCGCCTTCGCCAATGCCAACGACGGTTTCAAAACTCTCCTCTCGCAATGGCAGCAGCCTCGACGATTTCCTTTTTCCAACTGGATGTCCCTGACCCGAGTGATTTCACCCTTGTGACGACTCTTCACGAGGACCATTTCACGCTCGACGTGAACTCGAACGTTCCAAGACTATGTCTGATCTCGATAACATTTACCCTTTCTTTCTTTCTCTCTCTTTTTTTCTCTTACTTACTCTCTTTCTCTTTCTCTCTCTTTCTTCTTCGACTTAGATCTTTTTCTCTTCGTTTTCTCTTTTATTATAATTATTATTCTCCTCTCGTTGAAGTTGGAACAGTATGACTTTTCCTCTTTCTTGCCTTCTTAACGTTCTTATCTATTTCACTGTGCTCTTCTCCTTTAAAGGACTAAAGAACGACGAAGGTCCTTCCTCTTAGTCAAAAGGAAGGGGACCTTATCAGCCCTTTTACAATGCCCTGGGTGCCGATGGAATTATTATAAATTTCGTCTAACGAAAGGCACTCTTCTTTCCCTTTCTATCCCTCTCTCTCTCTCACTCTCTCTCTTTCTCACTTTCTTTCTTTCTATCCTTTTTCCTCCCTTCCTCTTAGTTTCTGCCTCCGGCTTATTCAATTATTTCACTTCTACGAGGTACCACCGCCGTCGAGACCGCCACCGTGAATCCCGGAACGAAGATTAAAGTGCTTTTGGCGATTATGAACGATTTAGGTTAAGTATTTTCCCGTTTTTTCTTTTTTTTTTTTTTTAAGTTATTCCCCGTCTTTTTCTTTTTTTCTTTCCCCCCTCCCGCCCCTTCCTTCGTTAGTTCGTTCCTCCTTCGATCGGTTTCACGCGAAAAACAAACAAAAAAATCCTCTCTCCTTCTCTCGATTCTTATTTCCAAATCGTTCGTATCTCCGTTTGATTTCGTAATATCATATTTTTATATTTTCAATTTATTTCTCATATATATATATAGTTTTTCTTTAACTCCTTCTTATTATTTTCTTTTAATTCGACATCGAAGACAGGCTATCGAGCGGGTTCGCAAGCTTCTGAAACAGAAAGCAGGATCCGTCGTGAGGAAATTGTATCGACGTGCCTGAGATTCCTTCGTTGGTTCCCCCCTACCCTCCCGAACCCTCCCCCTCGCCATCACCCACCACCACCCCTCACCCCCCTATCTCTTTTTCTTTTTTATTTACTCTCTTTCTTTCCCTCTCTCTCTCTCTCTCTTTCTCTCTTTCTCTTTCTTTCTCTTTTTAGATAGCTTGCTATCCATCTTGTCGACGCAACTTTCTAAAGTTAACTTGTCAACCCCCTTAAGAGAATTCAGCCGATGCGGTCGATCTGGCTTGTAAGCTTGTTACAAAGGCCGTCGAGGGACCGATAAAAGGAACGACAACGGAAAGATGCTCGACCGGACGTCGTCGTTATAATTATAATATCGACTCTCGCGTTATCAAAGTTTCGTTGGACTTGTGAGAAATAACATTGAGTAAATAATCTCCTTTCATTTTCGTTTATTACGACGACGACGACGACGACGACGACGACGACTACTTCTTCTCGATTCCGAGGTTTCTATTATTGGTATGAAACGTCAAAAATTAATAATTAAAATATTGCATAGGTACCGTTTGCTTAATGTACTTCTGAAATTCGTATAGTTTTGTTGAAATGTGCCCAAAAAATTTAATACGATGTAACGGATGACTTTCTTTTCTTTTTTTTTTATTGACTAAACTATTTTTATTTACTATGTATGAGAATTCACGTAATTTGTACGCAATGTGTTAAGGATTTTTTCGATTATTCGATAGAAAAGATACGTTTATTTTTTTTTTTTTAACAACATCGTTAGAATAATGTTTTTTTTTTGTTAATTTTATATTTCGTACAGAATGCAATATATTAATTTGTTTATATATATATATATATATATATATATATTTATACGTATATATTATTTATATTTATGACAATTAGTAGAAATTATTTGACGACGCGTTGTAATTCGAACTTACAATTAGTAGACGATTTTTTAAAACTGTTTATGAATATAAAGATTGTTATCTATATTGGTTTTAGTTCTTAAAAATCAATATTACGTCAGTTATATAACTGAATAGAGTCGAAACACGATCGATATAGTATCAAAAATAATAAGTATATCGAACCGACATGATACAGGATAAATTCAGTAACTAACTATTTTTCTAATAATAATATTTATAATAAATCAATATTCTCTTTTTTATTTTTAATTATTCAGTACAATAAATACGGACCAGAATCGAAATAATAATTTTCAATGAAATCTGTTAAGTCAAAACATAATCAAGCACGTAATCCATTATTTTGTAAACTGAACTTCGTATTCCAAAAATATATTTCATATTTTCGACTAATTTTATATCATAAATTATTACATTCTTTGAACTGTAACGTTAATTACCAAATATCTTGTACCAAACAGTTTGAATATTATTTTCGGAAATCGTTTCAATCCTTGCTTTATAGATTTATACCATAATCCTAAATATTTGCGTATTAACCCCTTTGAATAAATAAAAGTTAAAGATTATTAAGAGTAGAGAATTATTAAGCTTTGATCCGTTAAATTTGCATTTGTAATAAAAAAAATTCTTATAGAATTTATGCGAAAAAAATAAATTTTTATTCACTTTTTATTTCTTTTTATTCATCCTTTTTTTTCTTATACACTTTATTAATATAAGTATTAAAAGAATTATAATGTGACGATTATATTTTGTTGTTCAAATATCTGGTTCTTTTAACTTAAACCACTTAGAATTATTAATATTACTGCTATTCAAGTGTTACACGTAATCTAAATAAATAAATGAAATCCAAGTCATAAAACCCGTCCTAAGCTTTATATCGTGTCTACTTTTAAAATGAAAAAAAATATCTATTCTCTCTCTCCTTTTCTCTTTCCCCAGGCTTATCTTTCCTTGTGACGATGATTAAAAATTCTGAGTAGAGAGGAAACACGATTTATTTATTAACGGGAAACAAAGAAAACATCCTACCCATGAATTTTAAATGAAAGCTTTCTTTATTACTACAACAAAAATAAGAATAGCAGATGAAATCTGATAAGGAAGGATGAAGATGAAATGTGAGAGAGAAAAAGAGAGAGAGAGAGAGAGAGAGAGAGAGAGAGAGAAATGTAGAAAGGCAGAAAATAAAAAAATAATCTCTTATGTTTAACATTATTAAGGATTTTCATGTCCTACTTGTATATTTTATTATATAAAAATATTTCTTACTTGAAATATATTCATAAGGATATCCTGTATAAAATTCAACAAATTTCTAGTTGTAAATTACTACTACTTTAATATATATTTTTTTCAAGTACTAATAAAACAAAAGATATATAAAATAATTTCATAAAGTAAAGAAAAGAATTCGATTTAAAAAAATTAATATTTTTTTCGTAGGGGAGTAAGAAAAAAAATGTTTAGAAAAATGCAAAACAAAGATTGTATATTTTCTCGTAATGTATTCTAAAAAAAAATGTCGTTTCTAAACTTGTTAAGTTGTTTTAGCGAGAAATAGATGTTGCAACGAACTTTGTAATTGCAAATGATTGTGCAATAGTGTTTATGATGGTAGTTATGAGTTAATTTCACGGATCACGAAGACATAGTCTTCCTTGTCACCGAAGTGTCGCGTACGAATCTAAATTCACTGAGCTTGCAGCTATTTCATATCGAAGTTCTAGAACACAGAAAGAGAGAGACAGAGAGAGAGAGAAAGAGAGAGAGAGAGAGAGAAAGAGAGATGGAATATATAGCTCGTAAACCTCATCAACGAGACGACAGGGGCAACGAAACCGACAAATTATGACTGACGTCTGCCAATTAGAGCATTGGTCAATCCTTTGTTTTGTGTAAATATATACATACATATGTATGTGTGTCTCTAGTTGACTATATTCTTCGAATATCAACATCAGAGAAAAGGGTCACTATCCTTTCTACTGGGTGATAAAAAATGAAATATTATAAATTTGTACGATGTGATAAATAGGATCAATATATTATTATAAAAACTTTTTTGAAATATATAGTCATTTAATATGTTTGTAATATAAATGTTTAAAGTTATGACAAATGTCACAGTTACGTTGTAGTGATTGCTGTGTTCTATAGAAGATATTTCAGGTATGCATTAGATTCAGTACAACCCCTAGCATAGACGTATAATATAATTTACCTATCAACAAAACCTTGTTCCCCTTTACCAGGTCATTAGATAGAGATAGCATTGAGAATCTTATTTTTTAGTAATGGTTATTATATTTTATTATATATACTTATATTCGTTTCTTATTTCATCAGACAAATTAATGATATTTTATTTTTCATCACCCCTGATTCGTTCTAACATATTCCTGGGGACGCTTTTGTCTTTGATTAATAGGAATTCGATGAAAGTATAATAGCCGTCTATCGATTATGTTCTCTACCGCTTAGACATCTATATTTATCATGTGTAAGTATATAGACAATTTTGTAAAGAATATATTTCTTTGAGAATCGTGCACGAGATCATATTTTTTTTATGAAAAAAACAAAAAAAAAAGAAAAATTAAAAAGAAACAATTACAAAATAACTTATCTTATATAGTTGTGTTGTTAATACTAAAAACGTATGAAAAATTGTAAAGAATTCGATTTAAAGTATACCTCATATTTCATGCTGCTTTTTTCCTCTTTTCACGAGTTTACGCGAAGTCACGTGTGTTATACATACACAGATAAAACTTATGCACACTATTATTAACTTGAGCTTGGTGTATTGTGTTTAATCGATGAAAGAGTATATCATCCACGTTGTATTATCAGAGACCGATCGAAGCTGAACTTCCTTTAATCAGTATAACAGAAGAGTATTCTTCGTTCGACTTCCGCCCATCGATCCTTTTTCCTTTCTCCTCATTCTCTCTCTCACTCTCTCTCTCTCTCTCTTTCTTTCTGTCTTTCTTTCTTTCTGTATGTCTTTCTGTCTTTCTCTTTTTTTCTCATTATCTTTCGGAGAAGTCGTCATTACACGAAACTCGTTAGTCCGTTTATACGGAAAAAGTTCTGCTTTTACATTCGTGCCCTGCATACACGACTTTGTCTCTATATATCAACTTCATATATATATATATATATATAT